AAAATAATTTAAAAACAAAACCAAAAAGAGTGGCAAAGTGGCAATGCCATGGTTGTCCCTTCTCTTCCTGGGAAAAGACAAGAGTGGTGGGCTCCCTACAGGCCCCGAGCACATGACCCATAGCCCACTGCGGGAGGCTGACCCAGGTGCCCTGCCCTTGTCTTGGGAAAGTGTTGGCCCAAATTGCTATAACTCTTTACCGCTGATCTGCCTCATCATAGGCCTCCAAAAAAATAATGTACGTAAATATAAAGGATTATGCAAGATCCTCGGGGATGTATCGAGAGCGTAGCGTCATCAGCATAGATTCAGATTTTGAAACAAGAAAACCAGTTCTTCCCAGCTGAGGCCAGAGGACCATACTTGTTGAAGGGAGAGATGAGGTACTCAGCCCTCCCAAAGATCCCACTGTGTCTTTGTATTCCAGAGAGTCTTTTTTTATGTTTATGTGATCTTTTATAGTGACTCAGAACAAAATGGCTAAGAGAATGAGGACCAGGAGGTGCACCTAAAAGATGTATGTCTCCCCTTCTGTAGACACATGGATTTTATGAGTTTCTGGCACCTGGAAGTTGACCAGAAAATAGTGAAATATATTTTATACCTAAGGTATATCCATTGTTCCTCTTAGTACTATCAGATCCCTCTTGAATGTCCTAGATCTCAAAGCAAAGTGCCTTGGGGTGGGGTGGGAGAAGCAGTAATAACATGACCTGTTATCCAAAACGAACACACAAGCGCAGATCACTTTCCCAAATGTCCATGATTTCAGAACATAAATGCAGACACACCCTTCAAAGAAGCACTGGAACGGAGAAAACAGGCCTGCTTCCTGCATCTCACTGAATCCAACTGGACGGAGTGATGGTGGAGATCAAAGGCATGCAGAGACTGAACAGAGGGCCAGGAGGAACTGGCACCTTCCACGCCGCTGGAAATGGGCCAACTCCACCACACCGAGCAAAAGCAAACTGAAAGTAAACATGAGCAAGTAATCGAATGCACATGGCATGTTGGCTCCCCAGGGAGCGATTTCCAGATCTTCAAAAGCATATGCTCATGGCAAATCAGAATGGCCCCCTTCAGAACCCAGAGGCTGAAGCTTTGGTTTCTACTGAGGGGAAACAGGTCAAATCTCCTCTTTGAAATGATACTGACCATCTTCCCTGCCCTCTTACCTTTCTATATCCAATCACCTAAATAACTTTGTTTCTAATCTTATTTCTTAAAAAATTTTTTTTCTTATTGATTTTAGAGAGAGAGGAAAAGAGAGGGGGAGAGAGGTATAAACATCAGTGAGAAAGAACATCGATTGGCCGCCTCCTGCACGCCCCCCACTGGGGGTTTGGCCCACAACCCCGGCATGTGCCCTGACCTGGAACTGAACCTGCGACCTCTTGGTGCTTGGGTCAACGCTCAACCACTGAGCCACACCAGCCAGACTCTAATCTTGTTTCTAAGTAAAAGGAAATGTTTCAAGTTTGAAACAGCGTGTGTTCCTCGCTCTGCGGTGTGTGGTGCCTTGGGTGGGAGGTCGCCTGTCATCTCCATGGGGCCTTGCTGTCCCCTGATGAGGAGCAGCAAAGATGAGACCACTCCTCTGGCTCTGGGGAAGGGATTACACAGAGCGCTGAATGCCAGTTCACCCTTAACCCTTCTCTTTCTTCGCTCCCCTTATTCCTGACATGTTTCAGCGAAAGAGATTCGTTTACCATCCCTCTCTTCACCCCCACACACGTTCCAAAACCCCCACCCACCGAGAAGTATACAATAAGAATGATCATTTTCTGCAGGTCCACGGTATTCCAGGAGGATGGGGGGCTTTGGTTAGGGAAAACCTTGGGAACGAAAGCCTGAAGGAGGATGCAGAGAGGGAAACACAAAGGAGGAGGACATTCTTTTCCAACTCGGTTCCCTTTTTACAAAATATAGATCACATTCTCCTAGAGGGAACCCTAGAACACAATTCCACAGCATGGAAGCGATTCCCTCTCACCAGTTTTTCTCCGGTCCCTTAATTGTGTTCAAGCCTGAGTACTTTGCTCACGGTCCCTGGGGCCTGATTTGCATCTCCCTCCCCGGGTTGGCCGGAGCGGGGAGCTGGCAGCTGTCTCAGTTCGGCTCTGGCGGGGAAAGGTAAGGATCTTTGCGTTGCTCTTTGGAAGCCCTGGGAGAGAACTGTTGAAAGCCCACGGAGGGGTGCAGCGAGGGGCTCTGGATGGGACTCACGCACTGGAAGCTTTCTGAGCTCTCCACATTTAAAGGGGTCTCCTGGAGCCATGCGTTTTCCAAAGAAGCAGAAAGGTTTGCTCTCCCTTCTGAAAGGCTTGCAGGCTAGTGGCACTGCGGATGAGATTTTTCATCGGGGGGCAGGTATCCCTTCAGAAATTCCCAGGGGTGTTTCCTAGCTTATAGGCAACAGAGTGGAAAAAGGGAAAAACAAAAACAAAAAACAAAAACCTTCAGAGACATCAGGCGCTGATCATTAGGAATTCTCTTGGAATTTCAATACGAAGAGGTAGAAGTCAGTTACAGCCGCATGTGTGTCCATGGATATAATGATGATGTTTCTTCTTCAGGTACAGTGTCTGCCCTATCCCAACGCTTTCTGCTTCTTTGTGTGTATCACTGCAAATCGCCGATTACCTCCTTAGGCTCCGGAGATGTGCAGCTGTGTGTCTAGGCAGAAGAAGAATTAGGGGGAATATGACACCTGACGCCTAAAAGGCTGCAGAAAGCTCTGGTGTTGGGAAAAGGAATGGCCCACAGACTCACGCACTGTCCCGTGTTATAGATTCAGCCAACGGTTCACCATAGGAAAAGGTGCCTCTGGCTTCCCACTGATTGATTCCTGTGCCGTTGCCTTTGGTAATGGGGGAACATGATCTTGCACCGGATAAGGTGATATTCTGACCTTCAGTGGGGTTGTTGGGCTATTTGGGGGAAGGCAGCCCATGTTAGGAAGTAGAGAGGAATTGCCCCCAAAGGCTCCATTTGGTGGGAGAAAAATCTCCCATTTATGTAGCCAGCACCCCCCCCCCCCCCATCACCATCCTCCCGGGCATAGAGGGCCAGTGCTGAAATGCTGGCTTCTAAGTATTCCTTATCTCCAACACCAGTGCCGGCACTCCTGCTGGGCAAGGGTTGTCCCCTCCCACCCCACCTCTGAAAGTGTGAGGACGGTGGCCTCTGCCACCCCCCAGGTACTCGTCCTCCTTAGCTGGCTGAGTTCCCCCCTCTCAGCCAGGCTTCAGGGGCTTGTCAACTTCCTTCTTCAGAACGAAGAAGCCCAAGCCTTCCCTGGCTTCCAGTCTAGAAAGAAAGGCCCCCTGATCCCTGTCCCTTTATGAGAAAATCATCCAGGTACCGTGACTGGATGAGGCTGGAAGGAGCAGGCTCCCGAGAACGGAGGGGACGGGCGGGACGTGCCTGGGAACATCCAAGCCCTCTGCCAGCAGTTAGAGAAATCTAACAACCCAGATTTTTTTAAAAAGGGGAAAAAAAATCTTTTTCGAGATTTTATCTAGATGTATAGATTTGCCAGATCAATTCAAAAGAAGTGATTGAAATTTGTACCGATTAAACAAATAGAGGATGGATAAGTTTTAGTTGTAAGAATATAGGGATCTGCTTCTACTAGTCTCCCGGTATGATCTCATTTTTCCCCCTTAGAAAGACAACTTGGGGCTTTAAAATTTAAAACAGCTTGTCTAATAAAGGCTAAGCCGATAAGGCCGTTTAGGGAGAGGGGTGGGAAGCTGACTTTTAACTTTATTGTTCGAGAGGGGGAAGTGTCAGGCTGTTCTGCATGTCTGAGTGTTTGAAAGACCTTACTCCTGCCTGGCTGGTGTGGCTCAGGATTGAGCATTGCCCCATGGACTGAGAGGTCCTGGTTCGAGCCTGGGTTTCGGGCTCGATCCCTGGTAGGGGGGCGTGCAGGAGGCAGCTGATGGATGTATCTCTCTCACATTGATGTCTCTCTCACATCGATGTGTCTCTCTCTCTAAAAAAAATGAATAAAACATATTTTAAAAAATAAAGTGAGTCAAGGAGCAGCAGATTGGCGCTGGGCAGGACCTTGTGACAGACCCAGGAATCAGAACCTACATTTAACAAGCTCCCCATGTGATTTTTATGTTCATTAAAGACTAGGGTTCACACCAAGGGGTTCTCTCTCTTTCTGTGTGATCTTTGTCAGATGACTTAACCTCTCTGAGCTCCCTTTGTAAACTATTTATAAACTCAGTTACAAACTCACTTGTAAACTAGTGAGCATTCGTGTTAATGCGGGCACACTGCATGTGCCAAGCCCATGGTGGGCACTCTGTAAATGACAGCGATGATGATCATTTCAGCATTGCCAGAGTCACCTCCTAGCACAGGTCACAAGTAATCGTGTTTAGCTCAAGATGGCTGGTTTTCCCTCTTAACCACAAACATTTGTGTCTCCCACCTCGTTTCTAAATGAATGAACATCAGCCGAGAGAGTTTTAAGCTTCAGATGGCCAGCACGCACAAAGAAAGAAAGAATACTGGAGAAAACTAGGAATGTAGATTTTTGCTAGCTTAAGAGGCTGAATTCAGCTGCCCAATGACCTCGCAGCTGTTCCTGCCACCCTAAAGTGTCTGTCCTTTGGGCTCTGCCCCCTCAGCTGGGTCTGCAAAGCTGACTCGGGATTTTCTTATGAAAAGGCCCGATGGGCGGGAGGAAGGTCGGGTGGTTGGCTGGGGAAAAAATGAGTAATGCAGAGCAGTTGACTTAGTCAATGCTGCAAGAGAAATAAAGTAAAAGCTGGCTCCTGCCTCTGGGGACTCTAGAATGATTCCGACTTATCATGTCACTGAGCAGAGCTGGGGAAAGCCAACACTCAGAATCTGCTGGCAAGGAAAAGAACGAAGGGGAAAAAAAAGACAGGGAGGGGCAATCAGAGGGGGAGGAAATAAAAAGGCAGAGAGAGAAAGACAAGCGTCATTTGGGAACAGAGGTGGAGTGAAAGGAAGAACTCCAGGATCCAAAAGCAACCGCAGAATTCGGGATTTTTCTGTCTTTTCTTTTTCCCCAGAGGAGAGTCCCCGTCCTCTCCTGTCATCCACAGACTTACTGTGATGGGCTCTTTTCCCAGAGGTTGACCAGAAGAAGCCAGAACGCTGAAGCTTCTCCCCCTCAAATGGAGTGGTTTCCCTGGTGATGGATTGCTTCTCTCCCTGGAACGCGTAAGTAGTTTGGGGACAGATCTTAATTTTCAGATCAGCTTAAGTCACAGCTTTGGGGTGGAGATTTTTTTTTTCTTTCAAATGTAACCTCCAATCTCCTTTTACTGGCTTAGGCAGTATTTAGGGTATCATTGGACATCAGTGACTAGTGTGTGACTAAAAATTGTATGCAGATAGGTAGCTCTAATACATTTCACTTCAAGGCACAGGCTGTGGACTTTGACCTCCCAGGGCAGGAAAGAATTTGTCAGGTTTGATTCGAGCTTGAATTTGTTTTCAGTGAATGTTTAAGATGTTCAAAGTATTAATCATATGAAAATAGCCTCCAGAATCTTCCTTTAAACTCAATAACTTAGCTCCCAGATGGCTTTTCAAGGACAAAAAGGAATGACTTGACGTGTCGGAGCGGCAGACAGCATTGTCACCGATCGCTCATAGACAGCAATTCAGCCAGACGCTTTTGATGGAGTCCCAGGTTTTACCCAAAAATGTTCAAATTCAAAATATTTAGGGGTACATGGCAGCAAGTCTTATACCCAAGGGTATGGGGACAAGATCAGCTTGTAAGACGTTCCTGAAAACCTAGCATGCTTATTTAAAAAAAAAACAAAAACATGTCATGGGTACACATAACATTAAAATTCCTTGTTGCATTGAATGGAAAATGTATGACTGGACAATTACTCTAGTGGTTGATCTTAGCGTTAATGTAAAAAAAAAAAAAAGCATGAAGTGGTATCCTACAAGATGGCTGAATGTTTTTTTCTTAATTTTTCTTTCTTTATTCCTTTCGAATGGATTGGATGATGTCGCCACATTTTAGACCCACACGTCTTAGCCTAACTGTCTGAGCGTTTGCCACACTACATCCTCACCAGGGTCCCAGGACGCAGGGTGCTCTGTGTTTTTCGGTTATACGATAAAGACTTGCGGACTGTCCAGTTGACGTAGGAGAACATCGTGTGTACGCTGGCTTCTGGTCTTGACACTGATTCAGTGAATGGGTGAGAGTCTGGAAAGAATGCAGGTTGTGCCCGGAAACATTGGCAGAGTCTAAGTTGTGTGAGTTGTGGAAGGAACTGTGCGAAGTCCTGTTTATGCCGTCGTCTCCCCTGGCATGAGGTCTTTGCCTCAGGACCGAGGCTTCTCGGTGCGCTTAGTGGAAAGAGAAGCAATAGACAAAGCGGAAAGGCTAGTAAAATGTTTGTAGACCACCGGGGTATACTAAACACTGCAAAGTGTTTCCTGCTTTTTTATATCTTCCCTTTCTTTATGGTCATCTGCTTCAGCTTGCTTTCTGCCCCATGCAAAAAGGATGCAGATGATTAGAAAAAGAAATCACATTCGCTTTTTACATGTGTTTGTGTCTCCTGGAAAAGAACACAGTGGTGTCTCCCCAGCTCTTTACTTTTCCTGGCGGGGATCCCTCTTACGCATGCAGCTGACATCTGTCTTCTCCTCCACAGCCTCCACCCTGGTGAGACCCCCCAAATCTAGTCTGTGAGCTCATCGTTAGGAAATACCGCTGTCAAAATGACTGAAGAGCCCATCAAAGAGATCCTGGGAACCCCAAAGTCTCCCAAGCCAGGGGCAATGGAGAAGAACCCCAAGAGTGAAGCTGTGGTCACCACAGTCCCCCTGGTCAGTGAGATTCAGCTGACGGCTGCCACCGGGGGTGCCGAACTCTCCTGCTACCGCTGCATCATCCCCTTCGCGGTGGTCATCCTCATCACCGGGACCGTGGTCACGGCGGTAGCGTACAGCTTCAATTCCCACGGCTCCATCATCTCCATCTTGGGCCTGGTCCTTCTGTCACTGGGACTGTTTCTGCTAGCCTCCAGCGCCTTGTGCTGGAAGGTGAGACAGAGGAGCAAGAAAGCCAAGAGACGGGAGAGTCAGACGACTCTCGTGGCAAATCAGAGAAGCTTGTTTGCTTAGGACTGAATGAGACGGAGTGGGTGTGTGGCCGGCACGTCCTGCTCTCCCTGTGTCAGCCAGTTCACCCAGAACTCGTGTGGGAGAGGACAGACTTGGCCGGGGGCAGGCTGGAGGAATGGGAGTGGACGGAGGGTGGGGGGCGGGGGGGTTCTCATGTGCCAGGAACGGCTTGTATCTTCTTTAACGACAAACTTAACTCTAAGGGCTATTTCTCAGATGGTAAAAATCTGCTTTTTCTCCACACTGAGCATTGTCGGGATCACGGGAGGTGTGCAGCATTAGACAACATTTGGTTCGCCTTGGAAAGCAGCCGAGGAAAGAAGGGAGAATAATCGGGCAGGTCTGGTACACCAGTGACCCGCCTCCCCACGAAATAACCCGCCTGGCTAAGAAGCTGCCTCATAACCTTGTGCGGCTAGAGTCTCGATGGCTTGGACTTGGTGTACTTCTATGAAAGTTTATGATTTCCTTTTTCAATAAGTCGATTGGCATCTGTTTTATGTTTTGCTGTCAGTAATTCATGACTGGTGGTATTTTCTCTTGAAGAATAAACTAATATTGTTATGTTTTAACATTGGACAGTTTTAGATGACTGTGATAATGTGTCAGAAGTAGAAAGAGGTAAAGGGTATAGCTACTGGATGACACAGGAGAAGAGATTAAGTTAATATTAAAATAATCCATTATAGCACTTTTGATTATTTTTATATAAAGGTTTAATGTACATTTCATTTGAAATAATAAATACTCATTGCTGCTGAAGCTTCTTAAATGGCTGTTTCTGTTGCAGTAATTTTTATTGTGGGTCCAAATTACCCACCTTCCTTCCCCTCACCCATAATGTCACAATTGTATTTCTCACAAATGAGCATGTTGCTTCTTCCTACCTTAACTAGCAGATGTTTATTTTTTATTACGATTATTATTTTAAATATTATTTTAATCCTCACCTGAGGACATGCTTGTTTTTATTGATTTGAGAAAGAGAGGAAGGGGGAGAGAGAGAGAAACATCTCTGTGAGAGAGAAACATTGGTTGATTGATTTCCTCCCGGACTTGTCCCAACTGGGGATCGAACCCACAACCTAGGTATGTGCCCTGATTGGGAGTAGAACCTACAGCCCTTTGGTGTACGAGGTGATGCTCCAACCCACTGTGCCACCCAGCCAGGGCAAAGATTTTAATTTTTTAATACATGACTTTTTGTGTATGCAACTTCTAAAGAATACTGTTGATTATTTTTACTATATTCTAAATGATCTTCATGCCATTACAATGAAGAAAAATCAATGCCTGGGCTCTGGAATTTTACAATCTGTGTTACATATTTACTGAAGAATCAATCGTTAACTATTTGCTTACCATGTTTTTGAGCACCGACTACACACCAGGCATTGTGCAGATTCTCAGGCTGGTTCGAAGGTTACTGCTTCGATTCGATGAATGCTGAGCAATCCCCCACACTGCTGGGACTCTACCCCATAACTCTAGCCAGAAATAATCCTGGTTCGTGCAGTTTAAACCACATTTAACTACAGCAGGAAGATAGTTAAGTATGAAGCCTTTTTTTGTTTTCTTTTAACCTTGAGAAAACAAGGCAAAACTAAACAAACCTACATAGCCCTCTGGATGAAAGGCATTCATTCTGTCAAGGAATTGAATTGAACGTGGCAGGCGCCTCTGGCACTGACCGCTCCCTGGTACACAGGTAGTTTTGTTAACGGGAGATGCCTTGATGACTTACTTATTCTTGGTTTTGAAGGTCAGATGGTGGGCACAACACGATGATTTTAAACACATGGAGATCGACACTCCTCTGGCTGAAATACAAGAGTATAGCACTGTGTTTGTTTCAATGGGAGGGAGTCTTTGCTTTGACACTCTTCTGTTCAAAGATAGTCAAAGGCTCCCCACTGCTGGGTGCAGAAGTTTCTCCATGGTCTGATCCAAACAGATGTATCCAGCTTTTACTCTCACTGCAACCCAACAATTCCGTATGAGGTTAGCCAGCCCAGACTCGTCACGCTCTTCCTCCATGTCTGTTCCAACTTCTGCTTTCCTCCTCCAGGTTGCCAGCCTTCTCCTCTCCCCCCCAATACATCCGAGTCCTGCTTCTCCTCAGGACCTGGCTTAGATGCAACCTCTTCCTAGAAGCCTTCCCTTTCCTCGGAAAGTAACAGCTCCTGCAAGTCTTTACTTGGTCACTCTCCGAGGACACCTTGCTTTTTCCACCGTGTTGGTGGCATACATATTTTATCCTCTTCCGAAGCTCCTTAGAAGTGTATGCTTTGTCTTTATTTTTTATACCCTATGAGATGCCTAATAAAATGTCTTGCACAGATTAAGGTACTCAATAAGAGTTTGCTAAATGAACTAAAGAATGAAAAATCAGAAGAGTGAATGGTTTGTCCGGAATTACAGCCCATTTGTTTTAATCTCTTAAAAGAAAAGACTGTTGCTCTCAACTCTCCCCAAGAGGCCACCCTGCCTTTGCCCTGCCTCCGCTATCAGCACCAGGTCTAGGTGAGTCTTTGCTGCCCTGTACTTGTCCAGCCACACCTGCCCTTCAAAATGCCTGAAAAGTAAACTCATAAATAATTTCAGGCCACCAGGGGGCCTCATGCTGCTACCTGAGTCCCAGAAGAAACACCATGGAATGACTTAAATTGCAATGACTGACAGGAGATTCTTTCTGGAGCTAGACCTGTCTCTCCTGGATGTGAGGACTCAGCAAATATCCTCCATTGAGCCCACCTTACCCTTTTCCCTAAGCCGCTTCACAGTGGCTATTTCTGGGTTCTCCTTGAAAGTATGGGAAGGACTTGCCCTATCTAGGGAGTGTCTGGTCACACTAAAGACGACATATCCCTGTGAAGAGATAGTCCTACGCACAGAATCATCCTAGTCAAACCCAGACTTAAATTATATCACAATTATCTCATACCATGTGTCTTTATTGTGCAATGTTTGTCTTTACAAATGATTTTATTATGTAGCAATAAGTAGATGTTAAAGGCGTTGATAAGCATAGTGCAGGCACGTATGTACTAAAATGATGACCTGGCCCCACGCTGGGGCATCAGAAACCAGCTGTATCACCTAGAGGGACTTTTCCTGAAACCCACATATCCCAGAATGCACAGGGACAACATTTAACCTCGTCCTGTGGAGCAGGTCTCTGTCCAGGTGAGAGCCACAGCCACACAGGTAGCCCTGCTCTTCCCACCTCCCGGGCTGAATTAATCTAGGCGGTCTTGTTTAAAGAAGGTGCTCAAGGTCAGGTGGATTGTGCCGGCGGCTGAGGCCAGGAGCGCCAGGTCTGAAATCCTCAAACATACTTCTTTGTATCACCACTACTGAGAGACAGAGAGAGAGGAGGAGGAGGGGGGGAGGAGGAGAAGGGTGGGAAGGGGACAGGAGAGGAGGATGGGAGGAGATATCCTGGTCTCCAGGGAAGTATTATGGTTTTGAACTTGGAAGATATGATTTTGAACCCCAACTCTTCTGTTGAACTAGTCAGGCGATCTTGAGAAGTTAAGCCTCATCTTTAAAATAAGGTTAATTTTTAAGAAATCATTTTGTAAACTATAAAGTACTACATGATTGCAAATGTGCTGTTTATAATATCTAATGTTGACTTCAGCTTAGTTTTCCTACTCATAGTTCCAACATGTCGTTTAGCATCCAGCAGCCCCTTGTTCTGATTAAAGGCTTTAATCGGTCACTTTGTTTAACCTGGACATTATCCGCAAGGCTCTCTAGACCCCAGATCAACTGTGGAAAGCACCTGTTCCAAAGATGGGTCAGAACTCCCATTTCCAGGATTATAACCTTCCTTCGTGTTTCCGCCTACACTGAAGTCATTGGGACAGCACATTTAACATGCAAACTCAGTTAGGTGCCCTCAACAACAACAACAACAAATCAGGAGAGTGAGAAACCCTCCCCCACCCTACCCCCTGCCCCAGTAAAGCCAACCTTGTCCTAGGCTGCCCCGTGAAAAAGGAAGACCAGGACAGAAATCTAAAGAGAAACAAAAGAAGCAAATTCCTGGTCCCTGGCTTTTGAACCTCCAAGGGCACAGCAGTGATGTAAGGCTTATCTAAGGAATTTCAAGGGAATTTTGTTTACACTCGATTTTTACATTACTCCCCGACTTGAGCACTTCATCTTGTGCACAACAGACTCGGCTGTGTCTGCTAGCCCCCCAGAGTCTCCCCCACACCTCGAGACTAGGAGGGCCAATGCCCACCCAGCTCTGCGGAGGAGCCAACTACAGCTCAGGGAGTGTAAGCGGCTCACTCGCCAAGGGCTCCCAGCGAGAGAAGCCGACAGCCAGGACCCGTATGCTGACCAGATGTTATCGTTATCCCAGATGTATGCTTAGTCATAACTGGTATCATTTCCAGGACGTCTCTTTAGGAAAGGGAGACAATAAAGATAACATATCACCTACTTTTTGAAAGACTTTTTAAAAAGTATAATACATAGAGAAATGTGTACAACTTAATACATTTCACAAATAAACCTGTGAAACTAACACCCAGACCGGGAAGCCAAACATTGCCAGCCGGCAAAAGCGCCCCCTTGAATCCACTTCCAGTAGCCACTTTGGTCAGAGGGAAACACTATCCTCACCTCTCATGTATAGTTTTGTAAAAAAAAAAATTTTTTTAATTAAATCCTCACCCAGGGATAATTTTTGTCCACGGGTCAATGCTCCAAAAGCTGAGCCAAACCACCAGGGCAGTTCTGTCCATTTTTTAACTTTATATAAATGGAATCCTATGGCATGTATACTTCTTTTTTTTTTAATCCTCACCCAAGGGTATTTTTCCATTTAGAGAGAGAGAGAGAGAGAGAGAGAGAGAGAGAAACATAAATGTGAGAGGGACACATCTATTGGTTGCCTCCTGCATGCCCCCAACCAGGGCTGGGGACAAACCGCAACTGAGGTATGTGCCCTTGACCAAAATCGAACCCACAACTCATTGGTCTGTCCGGTCAACGCTCTAAGTGCTGAGCCAAACTCGCCAGGGCTGGTGTGTATTCTCTGTGCCTGGCTTCTCCTATGCAGTATTATG